TAGTCGTAATCATAAATACATCGTAAATACCACAGGAGTTAAATTCAGTTGATAAGGGCTCTTATCAGTCGTTATCAGCTGTTATCAGTTCCTATCATCGATCGTCTACGATCCCGCCACACTCCGCATCACATGCCAAACTGTCAAGGCTCCACTATTGATGCCATTATTATAGTGGCTCTACGCTTTGCAGGATTTTCATTAGCCTTTGTCAGTTTAATCAGCTCCTGGCCTGCCACCAACCATTCTCGATCCCGTCACCGAGTATCTACGATTCTGTCACATCATACATAACCTATTAAAATTCCGAATTCCATTATTAACAGAACGTGCGTTACAGATCTAGTGGCTCTCGCCTTCTATGGTTTCTTATCAGTTCCTATCACTTGCTATCATTCCCTGTCACGAATCATCAACGGTTCCATCACATCCTACACCACCTGCCGAAGTGCCAAGACGAAACCGTTAATACAAATGCCAAAAGCCAATATGTGTCCTATGGCTTTTGCCTTTTAAGGCTCTTTATCAGTTCCTATCAATTGTTGCCACCTCCTACCCCCTACTGTCAGTGTTCCCACCTGTCATTTGTATTTCTTGCAAATTTGAATGTTCTAGGTTCAGTGGGACAGGAGTTATGAACTTCCGGTCAGACAAACACTCACTTAGCCGATTATAGAGTAGAATTAGGCTTGTTCGTTCGGAATAACTCCTTCTCTATTACTGACTTTTAAGGCCGCCTTGTGATTGAAGAAAGTGACCAGCAAATGTAAATAATCGAAGGGCTCTTTAAGCGCTCCAACCTTCCAACGCATTTCTGCGAAACGCGGTGGTTGCGGCAAGCGCGACGCGATGTTCGGGAAAAAGATACCAGACCTGACAGTTTCAGTAGCTGCAGATTATAGCTAATAATAAATGATATAAATAGATTCGAGCGGTTTAGAAGTTCAATCATACTATTTCCTAAGGTTATGTTCAATTTTCCAACTTTCAATCCATGACTGCGTGTCTTCAATGCTGGAAAGATTTAGTATGGCAATTAAAGGCTCATTGAATAAGTTCAAGGCCACCTTTTTGTCCTCCGGTGAAATGTAGTTGGGAGGGGGGGGGAGGGGGCATCCGAAGGTCAGTATATCAAGAAATGAACTCAGTCTAACGTGTTAGTCCTTGTATTAGCACTGTATCGGTTGCGAAGAGGACGATGGGAACCGACCATCTGTGCCCTTTTATGCGGTTTTAGCTGAGGAAATTTAGTTTCATATAAAAGCCTAGGTAGAGTAGGAGCAACTGGGTAGCTGGGATGATTACCTCGTGCGAAAAAAAGAAAAAAAAAGCAAGAAAACTTGCCCACCGCGGTGCTCCTTCCCTACGTAAGCCCTTATTTGAAAATTGGCATGTCCGTGATATTACACGTCATAACACGTTTCATTGAGTTCATTCCTTGATATACTAGCCTTTGAATGGGTGCCCCCCCCCCCCCCCCCCCCACNACCCTTTGAATGGGGGCCCCCCCCCCCCAACTACATTTTCACCTTGTCCTCCTAATTGAAATATGTGTAAGATACCGCCCAAGGCACAGTTCACGATAAAAACGGTTCCAGAGTTCTCCCCCCAGGAACACCCAGTGGCCTCCAAGGGTAACAGGAAGGACGCGGTCGAGTTCCAAAACTCAACAGCTAGGGCATACTGGGAGACCCGTTACCGAATCGCCTGAACTCCCCGCTCCTCGATCGATGTCAAGGCGATACGTATTGCACATTGGCTGCTTTCATAGTCCGCCGGCCGGCCGGCGTGCCACGAGACAGTGCTAGGGGAGAGGAGGGCGGCAGACGGTCGGTCGAGGGGTTGAAAACAAAGAAGAACAAAAACCAAACAACCAGGGGCTCGTGCAAATGGTTTTTGATCTTGTGTCTCCTTGTTTACAGCCCTTAGAGGGGCTGACCAACCGTCTGCCGCCCGGCACGCCGGCGGACTATGAAAGCAGCTATTCATGTTTTTGTTTGGTAATACATTACAAGGATGTGACACGGGAAAATGAATAGAAAAATATAATAATATAATATTCGTTCTAGGACACAATCAATCAATTGATCGCTGGGTGGTGAGGCGATGCTTTCTCCCATTCCTTTACACTCTCCTATTCTTTTTGTATCTGCGACCCCTATTCTAATTTTCTACCTCAAGGGGCTGGAGAAGATGGGCTAATTTTGCTGTTACGAGGGTCTTTTTTAGTTAACCTATGCTTATGATTGAATGAATTTTTGCTTACCATAGTCAGTTATTCGCACCAGGACCCACACGTACGCAATGACACACGTTGTATAGCTCGTCCAAACGCCCCACTCTTCTTCATATTATTTCTGGTCTCATCCTCGTTCAGCCCCCTTTTTAACGATTTTTCGAAGCCTTTTTTTCACTCTGGAAACACCAATTCACCCACTTTTTTCGCCTTCATCGCACTATTTTCCACTTGTCAGTCTTCCATTTTTCGTCATATTCTTGATTACCAAAAATTATCGTGAACTGTGCCTTTAAGTCGGTTCAAGAAAAGGGCGCATGCTGGCAACAACAACACGACACCCAGATCCTTACTATTTACCCTAAATCCATAGGTCACAGCTCACTTGAATAGTAAAGCGCACCAGCATGAATTGCCTATGTTTATACCCTCTATCAACCCTTTTAAGTGCGCTATGTGGAGTGCGGGCAAGGGGACTGGGCAAGGTCAACAGCTTCACTAAACTTCAATTTTTCATTGGCTGAATTCAGCTATTTTTTTTATTTTTTTGTGCTGGTATGTAATACCAGTTGTAATACTAGTTAATACCGGCTAACGCCTAGCGCTCCTCCTTTCCATGTTAGAACGACCTGTCGCCTTCCTCCCTTCCAAAGTTGGACGCTTTGGTAAAGTAGAACAGGTGATAAACTTCCGGCCAAACACACACTCAATCACACTTCTTGAGGGCCTTGCCATCTAACGTAACGGAACGTCTCCGCAAACTCCCACGGCCTGCGGCAGTGGTTCCTCGGCGACTCTCCGTGTCCTTCCACTGGGAATTCGATTCATTTCTTCACAACGATCGCGCGATCGCGTGCGGCGAGCACGACACGCCGCTCGGGGAGAAGATACCAGACCCTACTAGCCATGGGCGGAGTCATGCTCAACGTACATGTGACCAAGTAAGTTGGTTCCATTTCCCTCTTTTTTCAACTTGTTTTAGCAAATCCTATCAAATTAGAACACTCTAAACCCAACTTAACAAATTTCGTTCACGCTTCGCCCCTTGTGAACAGTGTCTATTCCTGCCACCTATCACCACTGTTCCCATCCTGCCGCTTATACTCTTGGTAAATTTGAACGCCCTAACCGAAATTGAAAGTTTGCGTCTAAACCCCGCTCCTTGGGACGGGAGTCTAGTCCTGCCACCTATCATCAGCATTACTATACTTCTGCTGTATCCCTGTCAAATTCGAACGCTATGGTATAGAGGAACAGGAGTCAAGAGTGTTTGGCCAGACATTTGTTTCGAGCGATGCGAACCCTGAGTCTAAAACCTTAGTATATGAGCTGTTGTTGTAAGTTCTGTTGTGGCCCATTGAGCATTGTTTGAACTAAATGAGTATTTACGAGAGTGTGGTTACGTCTAGAGCTTAACCTAGTTCAAACTGAAATGAGTGGTAATGAAGATTTCCGAACAAGTGATATGAAATTATTTTTCGACAGCCATCGCACAACTATTGATTTGATGTAGGTGATGTTGTTAAGGATGAAGCGACGGAGCAACCCAACGTCTCCCACAACTTCTCAAGCAAAACTTGGCCTGGCGAATCGAATGAGCCGATCGTCGCGATCTGAAAACACTATGGCAGAAATAGATACTCTTGAAAAGAATAAGGGGGCAAGTCACACGAGCTAATGTATTGATTGATTGTACATGTTGTAAAGATCAACTAAGGCCTCTCCGCTAAGGCCAACGTTCTTTATACCCCTTCACTAACAGAGTGAACGTTTGTAGACATAGGAGCAGCAAAATTGCTTCTACCGTTGTCCTGTCTACGAACTTCATTGTGGGGGCCTAAACGTATAAGTATTTAGCTACAGTTCGACAGAGTTCAAAAAGAGGGCCGTTGAAGGAGCAAAAGGGTATAACATGCTCGCAACCACAATTCAGGCCATAATTATAAACTGAACTAGTGAAAAAAGTCCTAACCAATCTTTTTCAAACAATCAATATCAAGTGGAGTATGAAGGAAATTGAATGCACATATGTATACGATAAAATGGTTTCTGAGATTTCTCCCTAACATGAACCGTGCCCTTTAAGGATCGCACGAGGGACGCCATCTGGTCGAGAAATGGCTTAAATAGGGCGTAATAAGGGCCCCAAAACAGGCTTAGCCGATGTGCACATCCACACGTGAAGGAGTTCTCACGGCGTTGTAGAGGCTGTAGAGGGTGCACGGTGCTATTTATAAACTGAGGAGCGGCTGCGAAATTCGCTGTGGGACCGCAATACCGTAACCCGCGCTCATGTGCTTAGTTGCAGCTGGCCTAAATTTAAAAGTGAAATGAAAGATACCAGGATGGGAAATGCACAGAAAGGGAAGGTGTTGGGTGTCAGCTGCAGGTTATAACAATAGGTAATATTCAGTAAGGTTAGGGCGACAAACAGGTATTCAAGTTCTGAAAACTTCTGCTAGTTTGACGTAGGACTTTCAAAGCAAAAGTCGTGTTGTAGTATAAGCAGTGACAGGCACGCGATGATTACTCCCGGGGTAGCACAACCCACACCCTAGTTGCTTTAGAGGAAGATTCATCATAAATGATAACTCCTAAAAGGAACAAATCTGTCCGCACATGCACAAACGATTTCTCAACTAGGGCGCAATGCCTAAAGTTCCAATTTAATGTGAATAGTTTCTTCAAAGGAGCTCTTATAACGGTCCTGCCTTTGGCTCAATCAGTCTAGTGAAGCGCCTCACCCAACACTCCCTTTTCTGTACATTCAAAGGAAGGTGTTGGGTGCTGAGCTCTCTTTTCCTTTCATCCATTCCCCATCCTGGTTGGTGGCTTTCATTTCACTTTTAAATTTAGGCCAGCTGCAACTAAGCACATGAGCGCGGCGCGGGTTACGGTATTGCGGTCCCACAGCGAATTTCGCAGCCGCCCCTCAGTTTATAAATAGCACCGAGGGTGCACCTTTCTGGTTACAGGGCTGTTGTCAACCAGAAATTCTCTCGCTGAGAGAATCAGACGGCGAAGCAGTCTCTGTGTGTCGTGTTCACCAGCGGGAAGAAGGCGTGTCCGCTAGTTGTCCGTGCACACCTTCAGAGCGCTCTTCCGTCAAGAGGAGACATTCGAATTGGTCCAAGAGTCGAAGAGTCCAAGAGTATCTACAGAAAGATAGACTTCTTCCAACTAAGAAAACTTCGTATTTCGAACAGACAAACGGTTAGAAGATACGGGATATGAAGGATCTATTGTAATATGTGCAACTCGGTGGGAATTGTTGCTCGTTGATCAGTTCTGGTACTCTAGGAGGAGTAAAGGTTTGATCTTCGTCCAAATATCAATAAAACGTCTGCATAGAATATTTACACCGAGAAGAATCTATGTGGCATTGTAGAAAACCCAACCTTGCATTCTATTTGCTACTTTTTATGGGAATCAGCGCTGTGATCAACAATATCGTTTGAAGATCTGCAATATCATTGATTCAATTTTAATCCGATACTGTTCGCTAGGTATCCTGTTGTAGCACTAGAAATAGGAGGCATAGAGGGATGGCGAGCTCTTTCGTCTGCCCTCTATCCTCTTAGCGGTGACATGCCTACTAATTTAGACGCAGAGAAAACGACAAAAACGCTGATACACACGCGGTTGATAACGCTCCTGTAACCCACCTCGGGTAACGGAACTTCTCCCCTATCGTGGCATTCTCCCTTGCGGCATGCGGCAAATGCCACTGCAATTACTGTACTCACCCCGCCTCCCGCCAATCGATAGGACGCGATATTTTTAATTGACTGACTTGCTTTTTCATTGGATTTTATCGTTTTTCTTCTGTTTCTTTTTAGTTTTCATGTTTATTAGACTTGAATAATCAAAATGAGTCCTCCTGTATAGAAGACGATCAAGACCGCATTGGAATTGAAAAGAGCGGCCAGCCAATTCAAATGATTAAAGGACTCCCTACCTCACAAATTGCGCGCTCCAATCTTCCATCGCAATCCTGCGATAGGCGGCGGGTGCGGCGTGTGCGACGCCGCGCTAGGGGAGAAGTTCCCGGACCCACCCACCTTTCTCACAGTGACGCACGTTGCACGTAAGCACAGAAACGAAAATGCAGTACGGGCACTCGGCTCTTACAGTAAGCCAATCCCACGTTAATAAGCAAATTTTCACCCGTCACATATACGAGGCGTAGAAAAGGGGCCTTGGGCAAAGACACAGGATGGGCGGTGGGTAAGCCAGGGCCGAGGCCACTGTGAGAGCTCAGTGCCCGCACTGAATTTTCGTTTCTGTCACGTAAGCAGCTTGGGGACGAAACATTCACCCAGAACTGGGTGAACGCGGCAAATGGCGCGGGGAGATTCGTAGCGTTTAGGACAACTTTGGCACCTATCATTGGGTTACAAACTTGATGTAGAGTACATTAGTATGGTCAGATGATCCTACCCAGACTCAACTTCAAATTTGGGTTCCAATGATAGGCGCTAAAGTCGGTTAAATCGCCACAAATTTCGCCGCGCGATTTGCTGCGTCCATCCAGTTCTGGGTGAATGTACCCATACTTAAGCAGCTTCAGCCGCTGTACGCAATGGAACACGCATTGGGACCGCTGTTTACAGGACCGTTGTCAACCGCGTGTGCACTGACTCAGCGTTTTTGTCGTTTTCTCTGCGTCTCCTAAAACAGGCATCTCACCGCGAAGAGGATAGAGGGCAGACGAAATGGCTCGCCATTCCTCAGTGAATCCTATCACCATTTATACAATAGGATTCCTAGCGGAACACTGTCGGGTTAAGACTGAATCAATGGTGTTGCAGTACTTCAAACGATATTATTGATCTCAGCGCTGATTCCCATAAAACAAAGTAGCAAATAGATTGCAGACTTGGGTTTTCTACAAGCCACATAGATTTTTCGCGGTGTAGACGTTCTATGCAGGCCTTTTATTAATATTTGGACAAAGATCAAGCCTTTGCTCCTCTCAACTACCTGAACTTCGACATACGAAGTTTCCTTAGGTGGATGAAGTCCGTCTTCCTGAAAATTCTTCAACTGGCATCTTTCGTAGTGTAAAACTCGATCTCGACCTTAACTTATCGTGAACTTGGCCTTTGATAACGCTGCAAGTAGCTACACTTTCTCTAAAACTCAGCCTGCATGATCTGTGGAAGAAGGCCGTAAGAATGTTCAGGTAGAACTTGGGAGGGAAATAATTACCAAACTCACAATACTCTATATCAGATGTCACAAAAAAAAACAAAAGCACACCTGCGAATCGTTTGGCAAATGCAAATGCGAATTTCTTGTTACCTTCCAGTTCGCGGGCGAATCCACGCGATTCTTCACTGAAATCTGAAAGAAAGACGCAGACGATTTCTCTTCCAAGATAAATCGAAATGGTTTTACATTAATGCGACCCGTCGCGGGGTACTCTTTTTTTTGTAGAATTTTCAAATGATTTCAACAAGTAGACACTTAGAATTTCTTGGAAAGATATCCTCAATAACCAGTGTGTGCGAATCTGGACTTAAGCATGGTTTCTTAGTTCAACGGATTATCGGTTTTCTTTCATTAAAAAGGTTCTGTTATAACCCATTGTGAAAACTAGTGAAGCTCCGATCTCTCCTGCTCATGAGGCTCCAATCACTCTTTACGATGGCGTCACGACGTCAATGGTGGGATGGACCTATTGTTAGACGCAAGCTCCTGTTAGGTGATCTGGATAAATCAAGCCCAACTAACTTCATCAGATGTGCAACGAGGAACAAACTTCACCTGGGCTCTTCTTGGCAAATGAGAACTTTTTAGAGTTGTCAAGATCACGTGCGAACCGAGATCTCTCCTCAGAGATTTCTAAAGTGAATTCTGCTTAATCCGATAAACTAAGTGGAGAAATTGATGATTGTAATTACTTTTTAAGAATAAATTGAAGCAATTCTCTGCTCACCGGGATAGCGATTAGCAAATGCAAATGCGAACCTCTGTTTTGCGAAGTCACGAACGAAACCATCCCTGGCCAGGTCTAGAATGCTGACAAAAGTAAAGTTCATAAGTATAAATACATCAGATAAAGGAGTGTCAATAAAACTGTCCAAGTATTACAGAGACTCCTTCGCGTGACCAAGTATCTCTAGGTAAGTATAACCAGTTTCCCTCAATTGTATTATTCCTCTAATTTTCACTAGATTCCCCCACCTTCTGGAAGTGAGTTGGGATCGTTTTTATAGTAAATTATTGAACTATGTATCTAACCAACTATCTAATATTATTCTGCTCGTTGGCATGTTAAACCGAATTGTCTACAACTGTCAATTAGCTGCGACATCTCCATTGTTGCAAATTGACAAAATTTACGGGACTCCCCTGCTGAAAACTCTCTTCCATAAGGTGAGTATAGCTTACTTGGGTGAAAATCTATTGGGCTTGAGGAAGAGAAAAGCAACTGTCTGAGATTATTGCTTTGTACAAAAAGCTAGGATGGGGTAAATATTCGATTGACTCACTCACCCCGATGTTCTTTTCTTTCTGGGGCTTGATTGAAAGAGAACTATATCTCATGGGCTTAAAAATGTTCCTAAGCACCATTATGGGCTGGCGAAGTGCGCTACTCTTGATTCCCTTCTGCCTCTAATGCTGAATGTTGGGAAAGAGCGATGCACCCTACTCCAACTACATTTTTATGCACACTTACAAGTGGACGCAGCTTCGATTACCACAACTACAACCTTGAATAGAACAATGCGAAATGCCGAGTCTAGCCCGTGGCTGGTGCTGACTGGAGCCGTGTGTAAACGCCGCTTAGGCAATACACCTGGCGTCTGACCGTCTAAGCAATACACGACTGTGCTGACGCATTCTAAAGTGTATTCAAGCCCAAAAGTATTTGCAGCTATGTCGTTGCTCAGTAATCCATTTTACTCTTTCAAACAAGTTTTGTTTCAGATGACAGGCCAAGACGAAAAATGACCCTAATAAAGATGTAGGATGTGTGCCTCGATGAGGCGGACTGCTCGTAGCTCATCAAGGACATTGAATTTTTTATCAGTTCAACGATTGTAAGAAATAACCTGTGTTTTCTTGATCGCCGTAAGCAAACCCGGTCGAAAGAACGATTGTAGAGAGTATGACAAAAAGCGGTACTGCTTCCATAACTTTGAACTGAAAAAATAGAATGTGCGTAGTGTGTAGTCAACTACCGCTCGCAAGTGTTTGGATTCGAGCTATCAATTGAAAGTAAAGGTCGATGGAATGGTAGGGTAGAAGCGCTTCGCACCATGAACAAAAATTCGCAAAAGCTCTTCCATGAAACACATCAAAACACAATCACATCGAAAAGCGACTTCCTGATGAGTGGCCTGCTTTCGCCTTATATAGGCCATACGACAGCGTCATTAGCGGAACAACCCGCTAAATTTAGTATCCTGTATTCCACTGCTTTCGCTTGGGAGCGTGGCTGTCATCGCGTGTTCCGGTGAGGAAGACACCCAAGCAAACCCCTAGTGCGATCAACTCTTTCCGGTCGCGGCGGTCAATAGACCGATGAGCGGCGACTAGACGATGACGAACAACAACATTAGTTTCTCATGTAACAACAAATTTTATATATATATCTGTATATATTAGTATACACAATGTGCTTGCCAATCATCATTTACCAAAAAAATCAGCAAAGAAGGCTAGATGAGTTAGTAAAGGCTTCAAACCACCCATACAATCTAAGGAAGAACAGGACAAGAAATGGGCAACATACAGATTAGCTCGCTATGAAAAATTCTTGGAGAGCACAGATAATTGAAAAACCACCAACCCACGGGCAATAGCATGCAAGAGCTCGCATAAATGTATGATCGCTCAGCAGTAGATTATATGTCAAGGCGATGATATCAGCGCACACGAATGGACCTCTGCGGATTGAGGAAATTGGTGGCGTAAAAGACCGAACGGTACTTTCCCCACATTCAATGATTCCTTAGGCTCGCCAAAACTTTCTGACAGCAATCAAACAAAGTGTTCAGTAATATTTGGAAAATTTTTGATAATGGATGAAATTAAGCAATACGCGACGCACGTCACAGACAATTCATCTGTTAGGGACGTAGAAAGCTAGCCCTCTCGAGGCCTGCATTTGCATGCCAAAGGCTCTTCAGAGTCCGCCGGCGCGAGCGCAAGCGTCGACGACGGCGCTAGCCACTTGTTGACAACACTGGCACGTGATCCATCGGCTCCAGTGTTTTCAACAAGTGGCTAGCGCCGCCGCAGACCTGCACGCGCGGGGCCAGCCAAGCGGATTTTTTGAATAACACACCATAGTCGAGCATCACTAACAGAAATTCGGAACCCAGAAAATACCACAGAGATCGCATATAAATCATATAAATCCACTACACCACCTCCGCCCATAAATCACAATAATTATCTAAATAGAAGACTATGCGCGCGATTCTGCACGCTCTGATGACTGCGCTGTTGTGCTCGGCTCCACCACAATCTCTTCCTCGTCGGCCTGAAAACAATACTAAAATTTGTTCTCGCCGCGATTAGTCCTACTAACTATGTTAATTCAAGTTACTCAAAGCAATTCATTACTAATGTTTATAACAAGCGTAAGAACATAATACGTGGACCTCAGCACGACAACGAGCGATTTTATAGTAAGCATGCGGTGTTTTTTTTTTTACAGCAAAAGCGCTAGAACACATCGACCCTGAACACATGGGGAAGATGTTCTTGCTCGGAACTTTTCAAATCTTACAGTTAGGCATCATAGCCTCGAATTTGCAATCAGCACTTCCTAATTAGATTAAGTGTTTCTGCAAGCCGGCTCCGATTTCTATACAGCCATCTGTTCCTACTATTCTAGTGGGTATTTCTTAACAACAGTATAAATGATAAGATGTCCGCGTACTACGCCTTCCTTCACATTTAACGATTTAGGGCTTCTTTCATATTACTTCCTTTCGAGCTAAGATCAAGATCAAGCTGATGAGCAAGTGCCCGTGTAAAAGCACTTTTGCGGGTGACTCACTTAAAAATAACTCGATCACAAAAAGGTCAGCGTCATCAATGTTAATTTCGTTCAGAATGAGGCTACACTACAGCAACAATGATGAGCCAATCAAGCTGGATCAATTTCATTTCAAAAAGTAGAAGAAAGAACCAAACTCAAGACTACAACTCTTGCCATCAATCCTGCTAAGCCACCTCACTAGCTAATAAAACTTCATACAGAAGATCATTTTGCAAATTTGGAGAAGCAAGCCCAATATCATTTCAAGAACATGTTTACAGTACAATCATTCGAGAAAATCGCTATGAAAGAAGTGACGTTATTGATGGCAACGCTTAGTTAGTGGTTGAGTTACGAAAATAAATGGAAAAAGAAATAATTAGAAGTGTTACGCTTCGAAGGAAAAAAAAAAACTTCAAAAATACAAAAATCTGAACGCTTCATAAACAAGAATCGGTTTCATTACGAAACCACACTAACCTTATTTTCGCTGTGTTTTGAGCTAATGCCAGGCGCGCTGTTCTCGTCTTCAGCGTCCTCATCCCACGCGATTGTTTCCAGCTTCTTCGTTTTACTCAGACGCTCATTGAGGTCACGAAGGGCTTTCTGTCTGAAGAAAGAAACTCTGCACTCCTATATCATACGTCTTTCTCTGTAATTTGTGACCACTGACTAAAAACTTGATTTCGCCTAATTTCTGATAAGTTTCCACCGCAAATATCAAGCTCCTACTACTCAATCCTTATTTCTTTATCTGCTTTTTGACTGGTTTTTTCGGTTCGACTTAATAAAAATCGCATTTGTTGAAGCTCATAGCTGCGAAAAGGTACTGTCAGTTGGAATCAGACGGTCTGAAAAAAAAACAAGGATAAGCCTTGGTCTCACCTCCTTCTTTCGGCATCGCGAGCTGTACTATCGAGTCCGCGCAAACTTATTCCAACACTTTGAAGGTCAACGTGACGAATCTGACGTATATTGATTTCGCAAAATAAAAACATGATAACACTCTGGAAACTGTAGGTGTTCGCGATAGTCAGGTTAGAATTGATTGTTGCTTGAGGAAATTAGTAAACTTCTAAAGTTCACTTTGGTTACCGGATATTTATAGTTGTACTGGTGTTATAACATACATGTTATGCATACCCAGGATTCAACAATGCCCGAAAAGTCAGTGATTTCGAAATGAAACCTCGGAGTCGACATTATTTGTTAACTCGAGAAGAAAAAACTGACAAATGTGAAGCTGCAACATGCACCGCGTCTTCTAGGTGCTGCTTAGACCAAAAAAAAAACTACATTTTTGCTAAGCGTGCCAGGAAAAAGTTTCCGGGACGAACTACATTCATGTCGAGGCACGCAAAGGGGCATTCCATAATAACAATCCTGCTTTACAGAACGTGTGTTGGTTTTGAAGGTCTGTGTATGTGTATGTGTATGTGTATGTGTATGTGCATATGTATGTGTGTATGTGTCTGTGTATGTGTATGTGTATGTGTATGTGAATGTATGTGTATGCGTATGTATATGTGTATGTGTATGTGTACATGTATGTGTATGTGTATAAGGATGTGTATGTGTATATGTATGTGTATGCGTGTGTATGTGTATGTGTATGTGTATGTATATGTGTATGTGTATGTGTATGTGTATGTGCATGTGAATGTATGTGTATGTGTATGTGTATGTGTATGTGTATGTGTCTGTGCATGTGTATGTGTATGTGTATGTGAATGTATGTGTACGCGTATATGTGTATGTGTATGTGTATATGTATGTGTATGTGTGTAAATATGAGTATGTGTGTATGTGTATGTGATGTGTATGTGTATATGTATGTGTATGTGTGTGTATGTGTATGTGTATGTGTGTATATGTGTATGTGTATGTGTATGTGCATGTGAATGTATGTGTATGTGTATGTGTATGTGTCTGTGCATGTGTATGTGTATGTGTATGTGAATGTATGTATATGCGTATGTGTATGTGTATATGTATATGTGTGTAAATATGAGTATGTGTGTGTATGTGTATGTGTATGTGTATGTGTATGTGTATGTGTATGTATGTACGTATGTGTGTATGTATGTGTGTGTTTGACCGGAAATCTCCCGCTACCCCGAACATACGGGCAAATTCGGAAGAGATACAGGATGAGAACACTGATGGTAGGTGAACGAAGTGACGACAATTGAGGGGGGGGGGGGGCTATTTGGGCAATAAAGACAATGGTCACAGGATCAATTACGCCCTTCGTGTTAACAGTGGCACGTTAATAAGTGATGTGGGGCGTAAAAGGACCGTTAATAGCTGGTAACAAGCACTGATGAAAACTGATCGGTGCTGATAACGAGCCATAGAAGGTGAGAGTCACTGGACGGTTTACATCATCCAAGTCAAGAATGGAACTTTGAAACATTGCTGGATGGTTTGGAATTATACGTATCAGGATACTTCGGACAGGAATTGATAACAAATGATTAGGTCTGACAAGTGGCCATTGGTCATGGAGGGCAAGAGTAGCCGTAACGCCCTGCAAATATTAGAACCTTGGCGCTTTGGCGGGGATGTAGAGATCGTGAATACTTGTCGAAATGGACTGAAGTCAAGTGATTAGGTCTGGTAAGTAGCCATAGAAGGCAAGAGTCGCTGAGTCCAGCTTTCTATGGACTACAGTGGAAGTTTGACACATTCGAGAGTGACAGGGGAAACCGTGATCGATTGTGACGAAGATTAACAACTGATAGGCTGATATTCGTTAATAGCTCTTTTCCTCTTTTCGTATGTCAAGAGAATATTGCTAGTTTAGCCTGTACCGTAGGACAAGATTAGTACGTCACCCGTAGGTGGCGCACAGTACCCTCGCCGGAGTTCAAGGGAGTATGCGAAGGCTAACGGGTGGGGAACGACTTTGGCCAAAGTGGTTTGTTCGAATTAAGACCCTGGACGTGTATCACATCCTGGGAAGTCAGGGTCCGGGAACTTCTCCCTTGACATGGCGTCACACACGCCGCACCCGCCGTGTATCGCAGGATTGCGATGGAAGATTGGAGCACGCAATTTGTGAGGTAGGGAGTCCTTTAATTATTTGAATTGGCTGGCCACTCCGTTCAATTCCAATGCGGTATTGTTCGTCGCTAATATAGGAGGAGTCATTTTAATTGAACAAGTCTAATAAACATGAAAACTAAAAAGAAACAGAAGAAAAACGATAAAATCCAATGAAAAAGCAAGTCAGTCAATTAAAAATATCGCGTCCTATCGATTGGCGGGAGGCGGGGTGAGTACAGTAATTGCAGTGGCATTTGCCGCATGCCGCATGGGAGAATGCCGCGATAGGGGAGAAGTTCCGTTACCCGGGGAGTCCCGACACCCCATACAGTTGCTGACTGACGAAGGCGCAAGAACATCCAAGTACTATACTTCCAGGGCACGTCTTAAAGGAGCAAAGGCCAGGGAACTCGGGAAGAATGTCCGGCTCTACAACGGAGAAGACATGAAAGGCACGGTTCACGACAAAAATGGTTACCGAGTTCTTCCATAAAAATACTCAGTGGACCTCACGCGTGGTAGAAGGGTCCCTTTCGATCCCAAAATCTCGAAGGTCAGGGTCTAGTGGAAGCCCTGTTGCTGTCTTGAGTCGCTTTCCCGCCTCTCGATCAATGTCTCGTCAAACGAGTGTCGAGGCACTACAGATTGCGAATACTCTTTGTAGGACCCACACACAATCAGGTGATCGCCGAGTGATGAGGCGATGTTTTTCTCCCATTCTTTTTTCCTCTGTTATTATTTTTGCTGTCGCGATCCTTTTAATAGTTTCCTACCCCAAGAGCTGAGAAAGAAGAGCTATTTTTGTTGTAATGTTTTTTTTTTGTTTACTTATGCTTATGAACGGATGAATTTTTGCTTACCGCAGTCACACATTTGCACCAGGACCCACACGTACGCAATGACGCACTGTGCGTAGCTCGTCCAAACGTCCCACTCTTCTTCATTCTTCTGGTCTCATTCTCGTCTAGCCCCCTTTTTAACGATTTTTCGAAGCCTTTTTTTACTTCGGTAACACCGATCCAAGCAGTTCCTTCGCCTCCATCGCACTATTTTCCATCTTGTCTTCCATTTTTGGTCATAATCTAGGTTACCCAAAATTGTCGTGAGCTGTGCCATTAAACAAAATGGTGTGACAAAGGTAAGAGCGGCGTTCCCCAAAATCCCATCTCAGCTGTATACAAAATCAGCGGTCTAATCAAGGCTGTGAGGACAGACTCACAGTCATGATTCGTAGCCGAGAAGGGTACCGAAAAAATAAGAAATCCGAAAATCCGACAAAGGGAGACGTAGCAGTGCCAGGGCTGTAGCGGGAAAGAGCAATGGGCTCGTGAGGAGATTGTCCTACTAAACGGTAAAAGATATGAAAGTGCTGCCTGGTGAAGATCTCACTTCGCAACAGAGCCTTTCCCAGTAAACCACAGCCATTGAGCACTATGTGAGGTCAAGCATAAGAACGGAGAGGGGACTCCGGTGGTGGAAGCTTCACAAAGCAGAAAAAGATACCTCAAATGAAAGATACTGGAATCTGGCCTGCTAAATATCGAAGGACCGATCCGGCAGCAACGTTGCGATATTTTGCAGGGTGCAACAAAAACGCTGGGAGAGACTAGAGGGGGATCCGGAGAAACGAGAAAACGAAGTTCAAGGGCGAAGAAGCACATAGTGCTCAATGGCTGTGGTCTACCGCGAGAGGCTGTGTTGCGAAGTGAGATCTTCGTCAGGCAGCACTTTCATATCTTTTACAGTTACAGTGGAATGTGAAGCAGAAGAAAACAAGCGCTGATAAAAGAGGTGAGCTCCAGAAAACCTAGCTGCTCACAGGAGTTGCAAGAGATTCACCAGGGCAAGCGTAGGAAAAGTAAGAACAAGGAGAGCCTTGTATGAGAAGCTCGATGGTCGAGTAGATGGATAGAAGTTCATCTTCCGGCTTGCCGAAGCGCTGCACTGCGGACCATCGGAGTAGTGAGGACTGCAAAGGACAGCGATGGCACAGTAGTGAGGAAGCCCGGAGTCCGGTGCAACAGAAAAGAACACATCGATTTCCAGCGCGAGAACAGCTCCCGGTAGAGGCGACGGCTGGCTCCGTCGCAATTTGGAAAGAGGGTAGTCCATCGACCAGTGAGAAAGATGAAGGTTGGGAAGGCAACTGATCCGGGGGGGGGTACCGTTTGAGGCATGGAAGGCGCTCAGAGAGCACGGGATTAAGCGGTTCACCAGGTTACTGTATACGAAAAGAGGATACCAGGACGCGTGGAGGGTCAGTACTATCGTCCCCATCTTAAAGCGGAAGTGAGGAAGAACAACAAGGACCAGCTCTGAGCACTTTTTTGCTTTCGTTAGATGTCTTCACAAAAGAACTAATGAACAGACCACGAGAGACCTTCTTGAATGACGGTCACATCGTTCCAATAGCAGTAAGTCTAGAAGAACGTTGGTTCGGAGGAGAATGAACGCCGGCTGAATGTGAAGAGGAATTTCATCAGCTCAGAGGACTCCATAGAGACAATCGTAGACTGCCTCGCGGAAACCAAACCATAAAATGAATGCAAGACATTCAACATCTGGGGAGCGACCCAGTCGCTGACGGTAGCGGGTATCAGGCGGTAAAGACTAACAAGGGAAGGATACTTGGTTGCAGTGGCCATTCAAGATGTGATGTATACCCCCGTAGGTGGTTTCGAACGCCGATCTCAAATCTGTTCCAAATCTGCGATACGATTCTGGGAACGAGGTTACAGGACCGGTGCCTCCCTGTGTTATAACATTGTACCGAACGGACCACCAAGCCTTGCATTGCAAAGGTTGTGCGACGGTGGCACAGCTGGTAGAATGATGGACTGGTAGGCACGGTGATCCGTTGTACCATCATCATCAAGGTTCGGTTTCTTGATGCATGCGCTCGTTTTGCTTTTTCATAAAAAGCGAACTAAACGCTTGCAAAACGTTTTTGGGCTCAATGTTGGGCATCCACAGGGCTCCCACACCATTTTGAACTCCGAGGAATAATACACTCAAAAAGAATCTTTTACCACTACTGACCGAATATAAATGTACGCCTCTCTACCCCGAACAGTCGAGGTGGTGTCTCGAAATCTTCGGCAGCTCCCTGTACGGTAGACTGCGGTCGAATGACTCATCCGACCAGAGCCCAGCTATACCAGATACCACAGCTAAGCTCAAAACCCTGGATCTATTAACGAGTTGCTGTAAATTTGTCCCCTATGAGCTTTCATTTTTGATTTGGAGCGGTGTCCAGTGGACTGCGTCCAGGGCAATGGACTCCTATATCAATTTTACGATAACTTATCCTTCCAACTTATCCGCTGTTCTCCATAAGTAGGCAGATCGGCCCGCTTGTTTTGCAACTGATAGCTGCGACCACATAAGACATCGTAAGTTGTCAATAATAGACTAATTCCAAAACTTATGCCCTCTCAATTTCTGTAGAACGGCACTCTGCCGTGATGCTACAAAACGTGTTTTTCACATTCGAGGAGGTGCAGCTTTTTTTGGCACTCCAATTATAGAAGGCTATAGACTCTCCTACCAGAGCCATAAAATTGGAGCTCGTGGGTCAGATCACGAACTTGAGGGCTACGTTTCACTCCAGAATCTCTATATCCTCGCAAACTTAGGAGGTTTCATTTGCGAAGTTCAACGTCGCTATCCTCATCAGACGACCACAGAGGATCATTGTGATTGCCTTTCACAGACTACACTTCTTCGCAGAGGATAACGGGCTTGTTTCTATAGCATAGATAAGTACGGTTGGAAACCTTTTCATTACCTCTTCCTAGATGGTGCCTACGTCATGCTACAAGAACGAAAGTCCTCCATCGAATATGATGACATCACATTCGTTCAGAAGATTCGCTGGTAACGTGTTGAAGAGCCGTTCCTATGAACAATTTGGAACCTTCCTTCTTGAAGCCTCTCAAGCCCATTTCATATTTAGAATCAATATTTAGAAGACCTCTTGCGCTCGAATGAGCTCCACCCTTATTCGGCCGGCGAGGGGCAGAAAAACTTTCTTTGTAATACCTTTCCAGTGTTCCTAAATGGTGAGGGAGCCCTGTAGATGTCCGACATTGAGTCCATAAACGTTTTGCAAGCATTTAGGACACATTTTATGAAATAGCAAAACGAGCGCATGCATCAAGAAACCGAACCTCGATTTCATGCCTACCAGTCCACCGTCCTACCATATGCGCCACCGTTGCACAATCTTTGCTTTGCTCGGCTCGGTGATTGGCTCCATTCGGTACACTGTTATAACACAGGGAGGCATCGGTCCCGCAATATTGTTCCCAGAATCGTTTCACAGACTTAGAACAGATTTGAGATCAGCGTTCGAAACCACCTATGGGGGAATACATCACATCTTGAATGGTCATTGCGACAAGTACCCTTCCCTTGTAAGACTAGTAAATGCGGTATGGTACTCCAGGACGATCACAGAAAAGATGTAAGTAGCAGGGTTCACGATGCTCTACTGCAACGAGTGTTGGCCCGTGAAGAAAAATCGTAAAAGACAACTTCACTAAACTGAAATGAGGATGCTCAATTGGACCTGCGGTTGGACGCGACTGGAGTGGATCAGAAATGATAACGTCAGGGAGAATAAACAGACGCAGTCCAGCTGTAGATGGGAGGGCAGTGTCTGTGAGTTTGCGATGGAGTTTGAGGCACAAGGGAGGTGACTACGAAAAACCTCAAAGAAGAGGTGGTGGAATCGCCCTCGCCGAAACTGGAGTAATAGCAGAAGATACCGTAAATATGTAGAAGGAAGCGGAGACGACCGACAAGAACAGCGGACTCTGCGGCTTCACGGGATTATTGTTAGGGAGGAGGGTATAATGACGATGAGGAAGAACATCTCAGCCTGGGGTGTCACTATAGCACTGGGAACAACCACTTAGATCTACCTTTTCGTCTATGAAAAGCATATGCGATTTTCCGCTGCATAGGATCTGAGGAACTTTAGTGGATGAAGCAGCTGAACATAGTTTACATATAGGCTCGATTACCAGGTTCTTGACTAGAGGTGGGTGCAGTCGCAGAAGTTTCTAGTACCTTTATTACGGAACCATCGACAACAGACCGACATAAAGAATGTTCCTTACAAGGTCGAGATTACCCCTAACTTTTGTAAACAATGGTAAACTGCATCTCTGATAATACTTCTTTGATCTAACACTGCTTTCATTCCAACCTAGTAGTGCTGAACTTGTGTGAAAATGAATTTGTAACCGTAGGTGGACACTACTATTTTAACACCTTGTTTTGTGCGGGAAATTTCGTCAGTATTCGAAAAAACGACCATTCTTCCGGTCTCATTCTCGTCCGTGCGGGAGATTTCGTCAATAATCAAAAAAACTACCAATTTTCTGGTCTCATTCTCGTCCGTGCGGGAGATTTCGTCAACAACCAAAAAAAAAACGACCATTTTTCTGGTCTTATTCTCGTCCAGCCCCCTTTTTAACGATTTCTCGAAGACTTTTTTCACTTCAGAACCACCGATCCACGCAGTTCCTTCACCTCCATCGCGCTATTTTCCATCTTATCTTCTATTTTCCGTCATAACCTGGGTTACTCAAATTATCGTGAACTGTGCCTCTAACTAGTAACCGTGAACAGCACAGCTCAGATGATTGAAAAAAGTCGTTGGAAACAGCTCGTGAACGCCCTCGCAGATGAATTTCTTGGAAAACTATGGAGGCAGACTCATACGAGTTCTGCAAGGAGGCGGAGATATTTGACTAATCCCCATTAATTACTGTTCTCTTGCACTCTTAACCTCATAAAGCATCTGAAGCATATTCGACCCAGAACTGTGAAGAATGGTTTAGTAGCCCGAGGAAAGAAACAAGAATTATCTATTACCGGTAAAATCGCCCGGCTGCCGCCGGGCTCTCATCCTTCTTGTGTTAAATTTGAACTGCCGCCTGCACTCACCCAAGTTTAAAATCTCTGAACCAAGAAAACAGGAGCTATTGATTCCCACCGAAATACACATACACACCGACAGACTTCGTGTCTTAGGTTCGTTCCTTCTTATTCCAACTTGACTGCGTGTTTCCACTCCAAGTGCGCTCATTTCAGCAACCCTCATACATCCCCTCCCCTCCCCCATGCCTCTGCGGGCTGTATCCGGTTCAGTTTTGTTTTAATACCTACCATTGGTGTCGTCAATCTGCCGCCTACACTCGTTCCAAATTTGAATGCCCAACGTCAAAATTAGCAATTTTCACGTACGTCTCGCTTGCTGTGGGCGGGCCAAGTCATGCCACCTTCCATCAGCCTTTATTCCTAGCCAATTTGAATGCCTCAGGTACAAACCGCTGATTTTCGCGCTTGCTCCGTCCAAAGTCGAGACGTGCCATCTAACATTAGTGTTCCCATTCTGCCAATCTGCCGTCTGCACCCCTGATAAATTTGAACGCTCCAGGTGGAACAAGAGTCATGAATTTCCGCCCAAACACTGCCCCGTGCAGGCAAAGTTCGGTTCTGCCAAACAGCATAAGTGTTCTCATCATGTCGACAGTATCCCTACCGTAGGTGCACAGGAACAGTAGTTGTGAATTTTGTTCAAACCCCGCCCCCTGTGTGCGGATTCCGGTCCTGCCACTCAGCATAATAACTGTTCCATTCTGCCGCGTGTACTCTTACCGAAATTTGAACGCTCTAAGCCAACGGAGACGGAAGTGATGAATGTCCGATCAGTTCTGTTACGTAAATGCCCTCGCAGATTAGTTTCAGAAAAACTATGGAGGCAGACTTACTAAAAGTCCTGCAAAGAGACGGAGATATCTGAAAAACCACTTTTACTTACTGTTCTCTTGCACACTCCTAACTTTACAAGGCTTCTGAAGCAAATCCGACCCAGAACTGTGAAGAATGGTTGTGTAGCACGAGGAAATAAACTAGAATTATCTATTACAATTGGTTATAAAAGACCAACATAAGCCGCAACTTTGTGAAAGTAACCTGGCCCAAACAAAATGCTCGCTGCTGTCTCCACACGTCCCTTCGGAGTCCTGTGTATTGAAAAAGCGCAAATACGTCCATGAAATTTGAACAGCAAGCAAACCTTGCAGAATGGTGACCTAAAATGATAAAGAGCGTATCATGAAAACGATCGAGAAAAAATAGGCCTAAGAAACTCACTGGTCTTACTATTCCCACCAAATACAATAACGAGATGAGAAGTATAGCCATGATAGGCAGGTGGGTATACTTAATCCGACCAAACGAGGTTTCAAGAAGTATCGTGTCTGGAAGAAACTGAAAGAGAACAATCTGAAGTTTAATTACGAGGAACTCGCTTTTGTACGTCTTGCGAGTTTGACAACGACTACTTCAACAAGAAAAAAATTTAAACAATTCGTTGTCACGCAACAAAACTGTGTACCTGTTTGATTAAAACGAGTACAGCGCAGTTAAGAGGCACCATATCCACAATATATGTTTCATAAAGAAGTGATGTTTTCGCTGCAACTGCGTAGAGTCCATAAGCGGCTCCACACACAATTAGCACCGTAAGAATCTGATTCAGCTTTTTAAATTATATCAATGAGCTGTTTTTATTTTCTCACCTGTGTGATAGCGTAGATTTTCAATAAGCTTTCATTACAATTATTTTGCCTTATCAGGTTCGTTCCGAAATGTAAACTCCATACTGTCCAAGCATATAAAAGTATATTGGGACCAACGAAATGGCATGTAATTAGGCGCCAAACTTCAATCGTAAACAACTGAAACGGCAGCAATGCCACGGACTCGTAAGCAGCTGCAATTGGGGAAATAACGAGACCTGAAAGAACTACGACAAGTAACCTAATATTGGAAAACCTGAAGCAACTTCAGGAAATAGATATTGAAAGCAGAGAGGAATCAAAATAGATTCGAAAAATGCTTATCATACAGTGGTACAGTCATTCCCTAAAGAAAAAAAAAAAAGTTAGAAAAAACTCACCCAACGTTCTTATTGCGATTAGAACTCGGAACGGCAATGCATTATTACGAAGAATGTCTGAGTGTTGTTCTACAACAATCTGCAAATCGCCGAGAACCCCTTTCATTCGCCTGAAGTTGAACGGATTTCCATCGTTTTTCGAGTCGAATTACTATGGTGAGTAGCGATAATACTGGCCGAAAATGAATATGTACATGATATCATACAATTGAGACTGGTACTCTTTGGAATAATTTGGATGTTAGGACAACAAGTGTGTGGAACTTTGAAACGTGTTTCACCCAAAATTAAGCTCTGTAGCAATCTCGAAGAATGGTCATTTGGATTACCAAAACACTTTACCATGCTTGGAATTGGATTGTAGGTTCTTTGAGAATAAATTTAGCACTTAATAAGCTTTCTGCTTAGCGAACCGAATAAAAACCATTTGCAAAAAAGAGCGGAATAACTTTGGTGTAAATTGGATGGAGTAGCTCAAGATCTCGTTTGGGGCAAAAGTGTGAAGACCAACATCAGCCGCAAAAAAACCAAGTGACTCCGTTCCCGAATGTTTTTTGGGTGAAGTTCCTTAACACAACTTGTCATAAAGAACTTCTGGTCCACCGAAGGAGAAAAGAATCAAAGAGCAAAACCCTAACAGAAACAAAAATTCAATACTGCCACTCGTCTCCTACAGTAACCCCATGGCTTCGTATATGTGACGGATTGCGTATTAAAGTGGGCTTATGCCGTGCTGGACTAATGTAAGAGCAGAGTGCCGTGCTGAATTGTCGTTTCTGTAAATCTCTATACATCTTGGCATACTTAATCAATAATCATCAACGAAGAATTGCTACCATTATTCAAAAGGTGTCCAGGTTTCGAAAGTCTAAAAGACAAGCTGAATCTTGTCTTCGCTTTTCAAGAATCTTGGTCGAATACCTGCGTTCGAAGAGAACGATTTACAGCTGGAAAACTGATATAAAAGAACACTAAAGACCACTCATGCAAAGTTATATTAAAACTTCCTTCCCTATCGAAGTTTGGAATACCTCGGAGAAGTAGGTCGAAAATTAGGCCTTGATAGAGTGTCTAACTTTACTAGCGCTTGTACCACTTTACAACCTTAGGATCGCAGCTTAATTTGCCTCCAAGCAAAAAAAAATCCTCATCCATAATCTCATTTAACCAAAACGACGTTCGAAAGATAGATAGTGATGAAGCACAAACATTGTAAAAGTACAGATTTAGCTAAAAATTTAATTCAAAAACGAGATCGAGTTATGGAAACACAAATGCAAATGTAAAGCTACTACATCTGACAAGTACAAAGTTAAAGTTAGTTGGATTGGAATCGTCACGTACAGTGTTTCAAAGGCAACATGCAACAACGATCTTATAATGCATGCAGGCAGATAAAGGCCGAAAATAGTCAAATAGGATCACCAACTTTAGGAATTCGCATGCCCATGAATCATAAATGGAATGAAAGATCACAAAATCAGACTAAAAATCAATATGATAACGATAAACGAGTTTTAATGGTTCGTCCTTCAGCTTATTCCGACATCTAGTTAGGTGAATGAATCGCATTGAGAAGTCGCGACCCATTAACTCGTCATTACAAAATAAATCCAGCTCACTGTATCGGGACATGTTCGACCACATAGACTGCGCTAAATACCTGCAAGCACCTTGTAATAACACTTCGAATGGGCAGTGGTAGCTATGTTGAAAGACTCGAAAGATGCTAACCACTTCTAATATCTGAGACGATCTTACACTGACTGAGAATTACAATTAGACGAGGGAAACTCACAACAGCACAGGGAAAAACCGAAGGACCACATTATAAACACAGAAAGCAAAAAGGGCAAACACGAGTTGTACAGGTGATTAGGTGGAGAACAGTTGACATACAAGTGGTTCCCAAACAGTTTAAGAAATGAGATAAGGTGGAGTCAGTTTCATATCCTACTATTACACTTTATTCTCTGTACCCCGGCTATTCCTGTCGTGGTAAGGTGTGGCGACATGGCGCGCATTAATTTATTTTATGTTTAAGTTTTGTAAGTTAGCTTTCAATTTGATCCTAAACTGGGTGCTATCTGGTACTGCAGTTACAGTTGTGCACCTTCTACTCGATTTGCTCTTATTTCTTTTAAAGAACCCTGCCTTGAAGGAGGTGTACGAACCTTTGACCGAAGGACCACTTCTCGTCTAGGTGCGAAATCTTGATGCCCATTATGCTATCTCTATCTTTCATGAGCGGGTGAAAGATGAAGTGTTGAAGATGTATGATGATAGCAGCAGTAAAAGAGCCCGACATTTAGAGCAAAAAATCATGTTTTCGAGCAAGAATAAGGTGTATACCACGTGTAAAGGTTGAAATAGACGCTACAACGGACTGAAATGCTTCGATGCGGTGGCTTGGAGAAAAGTGTATCTACCAAATGTGCATCAGTGCTAGTGACGGGGAATAAAATTTAGGAGGGGTGAAGCCGAGGGCAACGGTGCTGATGGTAGGTGCATAAAAGAAAGTTGCGTGCAGATTCTCGAGGTATGAGGTTCCCGAACAGAGGACGGCGCAGAATTGTAAAATGGAAGAGTGGCGGGAGTAGCACGTATCGAATAAGTAATCTTGAAGGATTGATAGTTTTTGCGACCTCTTCTGATGACGTTATATTCTGCCCCAGATCTCTGAACATCCTGTAAAAGGTGTGAAATAGTCCAACCCTCAAGCCAGATGGTATTTGATGACTGTTTAACATCTAGGGGCAACAATATCAACAATTTATATGATATCTGGTGTGCAAATTTCACTTGCTCGAGGCTTTTTTTTCTGAACGCTTCACTGTATTGCTTTCCTCTTCAATTGTTTGTTTTTACACACTCGATTACGACCTATGAGCAGCGTGGTGATAATTAATTTGTGCTTCTAACTAAGATTACTTTGAACTCAGGTGCGCGATAACTGACTGCTCGATTCAAGATTTCCGCAACCCTCCGTGCATTCGTAGAGCATCCCAACAATTTTCTATTTCCTTGAGCGTTTTTAGGGAACTGCTTCTTCCACTTCGTTGAAGTGCTTTCCTGGGGCAAAAAGCCACACTCTCTCCAAATTCCGGTTCATCTAGCCGAGAAACGCAAACTTTGGATACCGATCTGACATTGCCCAAACGTTACTGAAGGCGTAAAATATTACGTTCTGGCGTAACTTATCTGACCCATGGCAAAACGACATTTCCTTGCGGTGACTCTCCACTGGAGGACAGAACTTACGTGCGTCCGAGGATGCGCGCGGCAGAATGTGCGGCGAAATTCGTGACGATTTGAACGACTTCAGTGCCTATCATTCGGGCCCAACTTTGGAATAAATTAGATTAGTATGATCAGCTGATACTACTAATCTAATTTAATCCGGAGTTGGGCCCGAATGATCTACGCTACATCAAACTTGAGCTCCAATAATAGGCGCCAGAGTCGTTTGAATCGCCATGAATTCGCCGCACATTCTGCCGCGCACATCTTCGGACGCACGTATGTACCCATACTCCTCTCCACTTCCTACCTTAGGCGTTATGCATACAGCCCATTTTTAGATGCGATCCGACCGTGATCGTTGGCTGCTTTCATAGTTCGCGATTTGGCCCGCGAGCGAGCGACCCGGGCGGCGCTTGCCCCTTGTTTACAACTAAATCTTGGTCGATACTGACGGACGAGAAGCTCCCCCCGGTCGCTCGCACGCGCGTCCGCGGGCCAAACCACCATTGGCTGCTTTCAGACTTCCGTCCGTCCGTCCGTCCGTTCGTCCCGTGCTGCAACGGTGGACAGGAACGAAAATTCAGTCCGGCACTCGGTTCTTACAGTAATCCGGCACGTGTTAATACGCATATTTTTACCCGTCACATATACGACGCGTCGAAAAGGGGCTTTGGGCAAGGACACGGGGGTGGGTGGTGGGGTAAGCCAGGGGATTACTGTAAGAACCGAGTGCCGGACTGAATTTTCATCTTAGTGCAACGGTGGTCGCTTGCGTGCCGCAACCGCGGTTCTCGGACGGTGTTCACATCGTCTGGTGCCGATCAATGACAGGATGGATGATGAAATTAGTCTCTCCTTTTCTTGCGGTGTCGATCGGTATTCGGCGCTGACAACACCTTCCTGTCTGTCTGTTCGTCGCGGTTGCGGCACGCACGCGACGAACAGACAGACAAACGGACGGACGGACGGACGTCGAAGTCTGCAGGCAGCCACCGACTTAGCGAGAGCCCACGGGAAAGTGACCCTGGAAGGAGCTTGGGCACCAATTGTCACCTGAAGAATTAGTCCGTTACTAACTGCACTATTCATCTGAGTGTTTATTGAGTGTTTATTTACGTCCTCCCTGCTGATAAATACGACAAGCTCTGCTCTGCTTTTATTCAAATGCATCAACCAGCCCCCAATGAACCTGTGTTGGTGGAATAGCTACAGTTGAGCAGTTCAGTTAGTTAATAAGTGGGTCCTTTTTTCGAAACTCTCACCTCTTATCGTAAAAACATAGGTGCTATGGACACTCCCATTCTCCACCCTTGGAGGTAAGCATATAGCTTAATATGAATGCGACTGCAGGTCGACGTTCACCACAACGCCACGTGCGTGATGCGACGCATAATTTTACGCCGTGCTTTGGAACAACATGCGGAGCACGTTGTCTTGCATTCACAAAGAGAGTGGCGTAGGGCAGGTACTGCGATTGCAAGAAGCCCGTTCGGCTTTGCTCTTCTGTGTGAATTAAAAAATTGCTTACAGCTTTCTCAATTGCTGTTCATTAGTTTAGTGCTAATCTTCTTTTTACAAGAGCCAATAGTTCCTATCGTACTAAACACTGCGGGAGTTTATCCACTCGACTTGATTAGACCAAGACCCATCACAGCTCCTTTACTATGAATTAATACCTTTTAAGCGTATTTACCGTCGCCATACCACTTAATCGAACAATTGGACGCGTCGGCTTCGGTAGATCAGGTGCTCCAGGAATCAATGAGACAATCATCTGAATACAAATCATAAAAACAGCGATGTGATTACTAGTCTTTTTATTGTATATTTTTAATTCGAGCGATCAACGGTCTTCTGCACGAGCTTCCTCAACTTGAACGATCAAAACAGCTAGCATGTACTATGTTCATAGAAACCTACATGTTCATCATTCCTATGGTGCGAAATCCCTGGTTCCCCTTCGAAACACCGATTGGTACCTTGTGATGCATCATCCTGCTCAGATGGTAAATTTATCTTCACCGCTGGCGGAAGGCAATATCAAATCCAATATCGATCACCTTTTTCTCAGCCTCATCTTCTTCTTCATCTACTTCCTCACCTGCCAATCGCTTTTTGTCCCTAAGGAAATCGAGACGCCTTTTCCGCTCAGATTCCAACAACCCTTGAAACATAAAATACTTTGGTGACAAAGAAGCTTCTTCTCCAGCATATTTGCTCTTAAGCTCAGTGTCAACAACAAGTGATGAAAATACGCGTAATGCAATATTGGTAGCTAATTTCACTGCAGAAAATTGACCAATCTCGTCATCGACTGAGAAGAGAAAAATGAAGAGAAGAACCTACGAAAAGGGTAACTGAGAGATTTTCAGCGAACGGATGTACACACGATAACTCCTATCAGATGCAAATTGTAGAGATAGAATGCAACACTCGAGCAACGGGGACTGCGTTAATTCTTTTTTTATAAACTCGTTGGGCCAGCAATAAATCAGCACCAAAAAGATAAATTCTATTCTGGGCAACCCACCAGGTACTAATTTATACACTATGTCTTGCATAGTTCGATCGAAAGCCACATAGTGACTAGGATGTGACTGATGAATAAGCTGCTCACAGCTGGGGCAACAGTTATCCTCGTCTTCGAAGTAAGTAAGTAGACAACTTTTACAGAATGTGTGCAAGCAATCAATAACAGTAGTTGCATCTATCAAATAACCCTGAAAAAGTATTCAGGTGCTAGAAATTCTATCAGCAAAAAACAAAGGTGCAGACTGTATGAACCTTGCATAAGTTACATGTTAAGTGAGCGTTGATTTTTTTGAGCTGGAGAGAATAAGATTCTTTTACTTCTCGCGTCTCGCTGTCCCCATCTTCTTTTTTGGAAACCTAAAACTGACTAGTCGACAACGAGAACGTCTCAAATAACAGCATTGAGTGAAATTGAAACAAACTTTGGCCTTAACTTCGTGACTTGACCTGCTAGCTCGCTTCCTTTTGTGACCATTCTCAGCTTTTTTCTCATCCTTATCCTTCTTCTTAGTCATTTGAAACCTAGTTGACTAAAATCTAGACACACAATGAACAAGAACACAATGCATTACATTAAAAATCTAATGAACGCGTCGACACGACCTGAACAAGAACAAAATGAGTAATAGAAGAGGAGTTTAGACCTCCTGTGAAAATAGACATTTCTCTCTTGAGATTTATAGAGCAACTTTGCAGCAACGATGACAATTACATATTTCAAATAAAAACAACAATGATGATACCCGCTTGAACAGTAAATATTACCTATAAGCAGTATGTTTCCCCGAAACTAGTCTCATTAACCGTACCGATATGTTGGACATGAGAAAATATTAGTAGAGTACATTAAACAACTTAGTTTAACCTGTCCTTGGATTCAAACTTGGCTGACCAAGATATGCTCCGGGTAGATACCTGAAACTGCCAAATTTAGTGGTATGAATGAACAGCTGAGGATACAGTTATTTAAGAAAAACGTCAGAGAGACTGAGCTACTTGCCTCCCTTCTCGTTCGTCCTTCTCTCGTTGTTCTTGAGCTAAATGAGCAGTATTGGATAAAAATGCCAGTGCTCCTTTGTGACAACGATTCGCATAATGACCTTTTTCACCACACTTAAAACAGATGTGATGATTAAATTCAGTAACAAATATCAGTATGAATATATTCAGTAACAACGGACACTCTAACCTTATAACAGGTAACTTCCGACAAACTCTTTTTGTCAGGGAACAAAGAGAGATCAACAGGTTGAACTGTGGTCACACTGCGATTTGTAATTGGATTGGATTCGGACGTCTGGAATGCACCAAAAAGCTGAATGGAAGATAAATTTCACAAATGGGTATTTAAGGAGTTCACAAATGCATTTCAAGAATTTCCTGAATATACCTTTCCTTGTTGGTTTGGCAAATGAGGGCAATGCGTAGCCTTATGACCTCGTTCATGACAATTATGGCAAACAATTTGATGGTTGAACAGACGCTTGTTGTTTGAAGCACAGTTCTCCGGAGCAGGGAGTGCGAACGAAGGGTGAGTAAATTTGCATTCCTTTCCTACAATTCTTCAATTTTCCGATATACTAGTATAAAAAAGCAGTGTTTCTGATTACTGGTCCTTTTGAAGTTACAGCATGTTTAACCGTGTACGAACACTTTTGATAAAAGCTTTCTCTTGAAGTAAATGCAAGTTCTAGATTGACCGGTACTGAACCACGACAAAAATTACCATGATAACTGAACGCGATCTTAAATGGAAAAAAATCCTCTTTAATTAAAAAATCTTCAGGACTAATGAAAACAAAAGAAGTCTGAAAGCGGCTATTGAGGGCTCGAGTAGCCTGTAGTAGTAGTCCATTCACGAGGTAGTCTAAACCATCCTACTTCGTTAATTGACTATTAATATCTAAGTGTGTTTGTCAGTTTTTCTGTGAGTGCGTGTATACGGCTTTGAACTGTATTGTGTTGTGCGTGTGTGTATGTTGAGTTACACTCACAAACAGAGCAGCAAGCAAAAGTAGGAACGAAGAATAAGAAAAACCTCGACATCATACCGTCAGGACAAAAGCCGGCAACGTAGTTAGGACAAATAACACGCCGACGATGACGATGTTTGCAATAAGGACCTGGAAGTGATTATTATTAAGCCACATATCGACCTAAATGCCAGTAATGAGTTCAGAAACTGTTCTTTAGCAAACGTTTGTGAAAACTGTAAAATTATTTCGCTCTGTTGACTACTTTGCTGTTAAGGAGAATTTGCATACCATGTCGACAAAAGCCTCTGTCATACCAAGGACAATCCCTCATCTTAGTTTCTGGATCAATATGACGGAACGGACATTCACGATTACTACAGGCCACTGAAAAAAAAAATATATAGATAATGGTCTTCAACGAAAAGAAAAAGGAAAAAAGAGAAAACAAACTATATTTGGAGAAAAAAAAACACTCGGGCATCTTCGTCAAGTCGTATTCGTGCAGGAATTCGCATTGGTCCCCCTCAATACATTCAATGATTTGAAAAATTGGATGAAAATGATCATTTTCCGATAAACGCATACCAATCTACAATCATGTTTTAGAAATACAAGCAAGAGAATCACTATCGCTACTTATCTTCGAAGAACCTGGTTCTTCTGAACATAAAATTGGCCTTGTAGATGTCAGGAATCTAATAAGCAAAAACGGAAGTGTCAGTTTATATTTATGTGGGACAACAGATGAATACGTAAAAAGCACAATTTCGTGTTCAACCTGAATAAACCTAAACGGGCAATTTCGAAGCATCCTTTGCTAAAGTCTAAATTTGCAAACGAAATCCAGTATTAATGATAGATTTTGTTTCGGACCGCTAAATTTTAACTAGCAAACCTTTTTACAAAGTCCTCTCAACCAATGTTTACACACAACGGCTTTGTCGCCTACGATATGGCGTAGGGGACAGACTAGATTCATAGTGCAGATTCCTTGAACGTGCTTCAAACAGACGCCTCGACCGCTTTTATCCATTCCAGCAAAAGGCACCTTTAAATCTCATTTCAGTGAATAACATTTCAGGTCTTAAGATGGTAGCAGACCTCCCTGGCACCAATCTGATGAAGCAGTGCCTCTTCAACATCAGTCATCTCGGCGTCAATACTTCCTATAACCTCGTCCATTGTTAGAGGAATTTTTAACCGCATCGTCGGCTGTTGGTAGACGGAAACCAGCTGGCGTGTGGCAATCATTCTGAAATTTGTTTAAAAAGAGTACCATGAGCATTCAGAAACCCAAAAAAAGCTCACACACGAAAATCGATCCTACAAATGCATAAGTTACGAACTATCCACCATACATCAAGTTTTATAAGCCAGACAAGGTTCGGCTCGGCCACCTCACTACTGCACTCCTGCCCATTTCGAAGATGAATACAGCCAATTTTTTCTGAGATCAGGACTGATAATGTGATGGTTCTGTGAAACTCAGTGCTACCTTATACGGGTGATGGGGTAAGGAAGAGGAGCCCCTCTCAGGGTAGAACAAACCCAAAAACAGCCTTCAGGTGAGAAAAACAATTCTATGGGAAAACATTCATAATGGAAATCATGTCTCTTGATGATGCATGACTCTCAGCAGCGCTGAAAACCGACCGCCCCACTAAAGAAGCCGATGTTGACCGATTCAACTGCACCTCACTTTATTTAACTGAATGCTTGGATACAGCACGGGTGCATCTCCAACAAAGCCGATAAACAGAAGGTACTCAGGCAAGTCCGACACGAAAGCCCGAAATAAAAAGGTTCCAACTAAATATAAAGCCCCGTCCATGGCATTTTGCCAACTTTTGCTAACATTCGCTGTAGGACCTCGCTTGGTGCGATGCCACGAACGTGGCTTAATTTCGGGTGCATGTCGGTTGGCGCGATGGGCGGGGTCGCCCCGCCTATTTGAGGCGGAGCGACTCCGCCCATCGGGCCGTTCAGCTCGTTCAGATCGCGTAATCTTCTGCTCTCCTCTCCTCTNAGAGGAGAGGAGAGCAGAAGATTACGCGATCTGAGATGTGCGCGCTCCTTCTGAGGCCCATTTGAGGCGGCGCGACTCCGCCCATCGCGCCAACCGACCGGCTCCCCTTAATTTCCAAAGCGTGCAGTCGACAAGTGACGGTATGATTTAATCGCGGATATGAGACTGAGAAAAGACTGGGGCCGTTGAATAAAGTGACTAAAAGTTATGCGTAGCCTGAAAAACCTTTGAAGTCTCACTTTTAGAGCCTTCATGACTTCCTGTACACTATTTTTTGTGAGGTGGTTTTCTAAGAGCTTCGTTTTCGTATGGTCAATTATTTGTCCTTATTTCCTTGTAGGCATGTAACGGTAACATCATAGGAAAAGGAAACAGAGTGAATCGTATCGATGATAGGCTGCGACTTGTGAGGGATCCTTGGGTTAAGAGGGTGTCACATATTTCGTGCGCATTCGTGATTTAACGGCAGAAATTCATAGCAGCTACCAAAAAAAAACAACTCATGACAGCTAGAGCCTGATCGTACTCCAAGTTATATTTGTTAACTTTCAAGATAGTTGAGTTGTAATATTGTAGGATTTATGTAACGTATTGTAGGATTCATGTAACCAGACGGAGTAGAATTAAGAGTCCTTGGAGCACCACACTATTTTTGAGACCACACTATTTCCAAAGATTCTTGGCTTAAGATCAGGGCGATGGGTGGAAATTCACTGGAGAACTTCGCAATGAACCACATATTCCAAAGCCCACATATATCAATGTCGAGGTACAAAGTGCAATTGGTTCAAAATAAAGGAAACGTTCACGACAAAAATGGTGGCAAGAATGTCAAATCAATTATCAATCAATCCTCAACCAACAGCAGCAGTTTTGAGAGCTTCGGCGCGTGTAAAACCTGGTAATTAGGGGCATTCGCTCGCACATTTACTGGCTACCGTTCCCCAAAAATCGGAAAAGATACTAAGTCTTTCCAGGTTCATTAAAGCCAATCCCTGTTTCACCCGAGTCACTCTTCAATAAAATCAACAGCTCCACCTCTTCCTTTCCTTTTTCACCCTGCTCTTATAAGCCGCCACTTCGCAATCCTATAACGTCCTTATCGGACTGGACGCGAAGTGATCGGGTATGTGGGGTGTATGTCGTTTGGCGCGATGGGCGGGGTCGCGCCGCCTATTTGAGGCGGCGCGACTCCGCCCATCGCCCCTTCAACTCATTCAGATCGCGTAATCTTCCGCTATCCTCTCCTCTATAGATGATAGAAGCCCGATCCAACATCTATAGAGGAGAGGAGAGCAGAAGATTATGCGATCTGAATGAGTTGAAGGGGCGATGGGCGGAGTCGCGCCGCCTCAAATGGGCGGCGCGACCCCGCCCATCGCGCCAAACGACCGGCTCCCGGTATGTGTACGAACGTGCGTCCGTGGATGCGCGCGGCAAATTGCGCGGCGAAGTTCGTAATGGTTTGAACGAGTTCGGCGCCTGTCATTGGGGCCCAAATTTCAAACAGAATGGATTAGGAGGACCATCCGACCCTACTAAACTACACTACTTCGAGTTTGTGCCCCGAAAATTGGCGCCGCAGTCGTACAAATCGTCACGAACTTTGCCGCTCAATTCGCCGCGCGCACCCTCGGACGCACGTTCGTGCCGTCCCCCGAAGTGTTCTCAGTCGTACCTAAATTTATCCCATTGTCAATCGTAACTAAGTTCGCACACCCGGACTGCTCTCATGATTAGTAAATTTCACCGCTATTTACGAATAGTATCAGCAGCCCAACATAACACAAACCAAAAGGCATAAGTTACAATCCAAGATGCGAGGAACGGATTTACTCGTTCTGCCCGGGCATAAAACTCTTGAAAGCAGGGGAAGGAGCTCCGGGGTGGGTGAACCAATTGCATGTCCAATTCTTATCACATCCCAGCTTTTTGCACGAGACAATTATTTCACCCAGTTCCCACTGGAGCTCAATATCCTTCTGGCTAAAAATCATCTTAGCACAACTAAGGTGGGCTACCCCTTCTCTCTGCGCTCTGGCCTTTTTTGATTCAGAATCCTTTTTTCTTTAATTCGATTCGATGAGGCCAACTTCCTCATGCGTATTATACAGCCATGTTCGCGACACCTCGATCAAAAGCGTCGACTTCAGCGCCCCAATCAATTACCATGCACGCGAAACGCCCGATGAGAATTGTCGGGTCATTTAAATGCGATCACGAAAGGTCCCTTTAATTGTGGCGACTGCGATTGTTTTTCTTGCATTGTCTGTCGCACTCCCGTTTAAAGCGGTCCTTAACTGCTGTGCTCATCTGACTAACAAAACCTCCACCTCTTTCCCTCCCACCGTGTCTTTGGCTGCTTTCAGACTTCGACGACCGTCTGTCCGTCCGTCCGTTCAACGCGTGCTGCGACGGCGGTCGCGTGCGTATCGCGACGGCGGTTCTAGGAAGGTGTTGATAGCGCTGGCACGTGGTCTAGTGTTGTCAACACCTTTCTAGAGCCGCCGTCGCGCACGCGCTGAACGGACGGACGGACGAATGATTCGTTGAAGTCTAAAAGCAGCCTTTCACCCAATCCAACCTTTCGCTGTCAGGGACGCAGAGAAAGTTCAAGTAGTTTCGTAACCGAAACGATGACGCGGATTGATCAGCGGTTGGCGTGTTTTCTAGGATTACTTGCTCCGACGCCAATGGCTGCTTTCAGGGTTTACCGGTGTGCTTTCCGTGCGTGCGTCCTACCGTGCGTACGACCTACCGACCGAGCCGAGGGTGTTGGTGGCTACGTGTTGATAACACTGGCGCGTGGTCCGCCGACGTCCAGTGTTGTTAAAAAATGGCTAGCGTCGCCGTCGGTCGGTCTGCCTGTCAGACGCACGCACGGAGGGCACAACGGTGATCTCTGAAAAAAGCCAATCCGCAAAATTCAGAATCATGTTTTTCATGAGAACTAGTTTTTTTAAAGCGTTCAGGATTTCAAGTAACAAACAGCTTCCAATAAAATGAACTTGGGACATTTATTTATCAGATATGCTATATACTACTTCAGTGACATTGTGATCATCTAGAGGTGGTTTCCGGTTATAGACACTCCACGTTGATTGCTGCGAATGTCATTTCGTTGGATTCTTGCCTCTTTGATCTGTATTACGTAGCGAGTCCGCTAATTGTGGCCTGTATTCAGAAAAATGATGGCTCTTGTTGATTATGGATCGGATAGCGAAAGTGACTCTACTGGTGCTCCGGAAGATGTAGCAGATGCTGTAAGTTCCTTCTACACAACGTATGGATCAATCCCTAAAGTTGGAATGCCCTGCCCAATAATAAAGGTTAAATGCTAGAGTTTCTGCACTGACTGGTCAGTGCTTCTTTATTTGAGCACTACTATAACTTCACCTGAACGGTGAATATCCATAGCAGTGATGGAGAAAGTTAGGAAATGGTAGAAGGGAGGAAAATGTAAATGGATGTAAATGGTATGAAAACGTACAGGCCAGAAGCCCCCGTCCCTCAGAGTCGAGGCTTGGTCGTTAGTCTTGCTTCTGCACTACCCGCAATCAGGGTCTGTTAATTAGAATAAGTATTCTATCGTTGAGCCGTCTATTTCACTCGTTTAGCAGAGAGATCAACAATCTCTCAAAATTACAATCCACCACATCTCAGTTTTTCTAATGAGAACGACCTCTTCAAGTGGCCTTAAAGACAGGACTGCATTAGTGCTAAGAGTGCTTAAGACTAAGTTTCTTTCTATTGTTAGTACTGCTACATTTTGTCACCAGAGACGTGGATCAAAAGAACAAACAAAAGGGCTAGGAACTCTAGTCTCTAGAAAAACTTTAGTCAACTGCCAAATATGACATGGAAATGAAGCCGAGGAAGGAGTGCAATTCAGGCTTGGTATTGGGGCACTAGAACATGACTTAAGTAACTAGCTGCTAATGGTGAGTAGCTGAGTCCCAGTGGCCACAGTGCAAGAGTAAAAGTTTAAGCAATTTACTACCTCATGGCGATGCCCTCGACCAGTAGGCATAATTAATGCAAAACAAACCTTGATTTCGAGGCTACCTCAGCAACAATAAGCAAGACGGAGCTCAATCAGTCTTCTTTGACTGGCGTCGGCGATTCATATTTTGCAGAAGACGACGTTTTTCGAGGTAGAACCAATTCTTTAACTCTTGGAAACATATTCAGTAAAGATTGGTTCAGGCACGTCTTCGCTAAGCTTACCTTCCGTCGTTGAAACAAGTGTGTCAGCTGAGAGAAACAAAGCTGAAGGCGAGTTAGAAGACATGGTAAAACCAAAAGATTGGGAGTTGAAGCTGGCTGAAAAAGTACGTAGACGTAAAGAGAAGAAGGTAAGTGAGGGGTATTTTATAAACTTATTGAGTTCCGAGTACTCAGAAATAAGTGCATAAAGACTCAGTGCTGATTGGAAGATTTTATCGTATTAACCCATTGGCGACCACGCTTTTATATTGTCCTTACATTAACATTTATTTTCTCTTATATCTGTAATTAGAAATGAATGATTCCTGGACCGCAATGCTTCAAGATTTTAAAGGCTATGAGCTCAGCTGTTACATGAAATCATGAAAAAGTTATAGGAACACCTGATAAATAATATAAATACCCCAGCGAGTCAAAAACGTGCGCCTGGCATCGGGACGCATGGTCGCCAACGTGTTAAAATATGAATGTTGTGTTCTTGCTAAAGATGATGTATTGTTTGTATACGGGTGTCTCCTTTTTATTATCATGATCGTTTTCACTCGTTTACAGGCTAGAAAAAGAGAAAAAAAGGAAAGAAGTAAAAATGTTGTTGGTATGGAAACAGTGGAATCAGTTGCCAACGGCCAAGAGAAAAGTAGTAAAGGTAGAAGTTGATTGTCTCGCGTTGATACGACATGTTTATTTCAATTTTGAAAATGAGGCCATTACGCGTCTACATTGCTTGGCTATTTTTTTTCTTTTGCATCTAGCGTTTTGCAGGTAGAGCTAAAATCGCTGCGTTCGGTGCTTTGAAAGCGGTTGCTGGTCAAAGTGATAGTGACAGTGATGAAATAAAGGTGATTAGCACGTATTTACCTTATCTACTTCATGAATGAATATTCTGTGAATGTGAACATCATTAGTGATGCGAAAAGCCTTCTGAGACGACGAGAAGAGGCTTATACAGTGCGTTTCAGTGGTATATGTCCACCCATCATTTTACCAAATTTTTTCTAAAAGAACTGGCCCAATTTAGCAGCACCATCAGATTCGTGACTCAAGAAAGCTGTGAACAACATCTTTTCAGGCAGGCAAGTCAACAAAAAATTTTTTTGGAATCATTTTTCTGAATTTCGATATACGACTCGAGGAAAATTTTCCTGTTTCAACCGGGGTGAATGTCCGTACCAAAATCAAAGGCGACATGTCTTCTTGGTATGCCAGGTGGTCCCCGTGGCTTCGGTGGCGGTTTGCTGATGGTTTGAGGAGCTTACTGCTGGGATAGCAAGCGGGAGCTCGGACTTGTATCCTGTCGAATGGATTCGCAAGAATACCAGCAAGTTTTGGAATCCAAGTCATTGCCGTTTCTGAGCCGCAGGCGCCGACAAAGGCTGATCTTCCAGCAGGACAATGCAGGTGTCCATGCTAGCAGGTCAACATCTGAACCCAATGTAGAACCTTTGTTGAATAATTGTGCGACGAGTGGACGCCAACAGCAGGCAGCTTTCCACCATCGGCGAGCTGCGAATTGCAGTCATGGAGGCGTGGAGAGACATCGATCCTTCAGTCCTCAGGAATTTAACAATGAACATCCCGCATCGACTCGTGGAGCTTTCATTCAAACAGGGTGCACCAATTGATTATTGATATTTATGAAGTACACTGCTGTGTTTGTATAAATTAACTGTTGTATAAAGTGGACGTATACTATGAAACGGTCGAAATTCGAAAAAATACCCACAAAATATTCCTTTATAAACTTGAAGATCTAAAAACCTATTTTCCATTGTATTCTAATGGAGCGAAATCCTTAATGCATGCTACTAATTTGGATCACCCTTTCGAGAAATTTTTTTGTTGAGATGAGGGGTGGACGTATACTACTGAAACGCACTGTAGTCGACATGGCTTCTTGGTTTTCCTGAGTGTAATATCGATTCTTCATAGAATACGTGTCAGAACTTTTTTATCCACGATAGATGTGTAGTCATGTTTCAGGAAGACAAACAGCCCAAACATTCGAATAAACTCAAAGAATCAGGTCTTCTTTCAATATTACCGACACCAAAGAGAGGGAAGTCAACGATTGTTCTTGGTGGGGCCAACAGAGAAAGTAGTGGGATCATGGTTCCGCCCTCGTTACGAAATAGAAATATACGTTCAAGAGACAAGGTCAGTTTATTTGTAATTTACAGTATAGTAATAAGCGAAGTCAACAAAACTCTAAAAAAGGCAGTCGCTGGGTTTATCAGTCTTACCATTGCTGTCGTACTTGATCAGTTTTAGACACCCATCGAAAACGCTTTTTCTGGTGCTACTTTCATCAATTGACAGACGCTTAATGAGCAGTTTTAAGAAAGGCCACCAAAAACTAAGCGTTAATTGCGCTTCAACCATACTTAACAGCCGTTATCATTTGTTATCACTTTAATTTCTGCTATTCTTCTTCTGACTGAGCAAGCTTGTGAGCTATCTTTGTAGCTTTTTTCCAACCAATCTTTTCTCGACCTACTTGCAAGGGATGAATGATATCCAGGTCACACGACTGGCTGGTCCATTTGAGGCATCAGACTTTGTGACGCACCGTTTCGGTCTGAGCCTTAGGGTCAATTTGTGCTAGTGACAAAAAGACAATTTATAATGAAGACGTATGCATATCGTACAATTTCAACTAGTAGCTACAGATACCTTTGTGCCTCTCGTCGAGTGTATGAAAAAAAAACAACGAAAAATGCCGCGTTTGACATGAGTTTTAACAGACATAGTAACCAAAAACATCTATGATTTCTCTTTTGACGTTACAGTATGTAGTTAACAGGGAGATCTTCATAGTAGTTAAAAGTTGAAGGTGTCGTCGGCAAAACAAAACACTTCGAAACGTTCCGCAACGTCGGACGATTCTGATGAAGATGAACTACCTACGGACTTTTTTGGTTTGACATCTGCTTCTGAGCCGAAAATTCCGCGAATCGGGGACGTCCCTGCTTTGGTCGATGGCTTGGCCGACTTTGTAGGACCGTCACGTCCAGCAAAACCAGTGAGTTGCTTCAATTAAATCTTACATCTCACAAATATTCCCGTACGCGTAATATACGCAGAATCCAGGGTAATGTTAATTTGAGTGACGCTACCACGGCGAATCCGACAAAATTGCAGATTCACTCAATTTCTTGCAACGTCAAATGATGCAGTTAATTTCAGTATGTCGATGTAGACGAAGCCTGTGAATATTCTGGAGCTGGTTCTTCTGACGATGTTGCAATGGAAGGATTTATAACAGATGAGGTAAGATTTGTAGAGTAACAGCTTGTTTTTGGTTTTTTTTTCTTGTGAAAGGTTCAATCAACTGCTCTTATTTCAAAGCTTGCCGATTTTTTTTTCATTCATACTCAATCCATGATTGTGTATTGTGTGTAGGAATCTGTATGCACTCGATACGCATGTTGTAGCCCAGTGGGCTGCAGTCGTAGACGGTGTTTTAGGGTGCGCAACTCTTTACCACTACTAAGGATACGATTTTAGACTAACTTTCTACTGACGATATTCATTCAAAATTAATTTAAATAGGGTCTGTAGTCATCCATCGTCTTTAAGACTCTTCACTTTCAGGAAGCTCACCGACTTATAATGAAGTACGAAGTCGGTCCACTGGGACCGATGGAACAACGAAGCTTTAACTCGATCGCAGGAGACATAGTGGATATACGAGTGGATGATGTTAGTTTTACTTATGTAGAAGTAGTATTGTCATCAGACTTAGGATTTTCATACCCTAAAAGCTCATTATTCGAGAGTTGCTGCCCCATCCATTCGTTTTATCGGGAAAATTCTAAAATTTATTGATTTAAGGCCCTAGGGCCAGATGTACGAGCAACGCTACTAAAAAATCTGCACGTGGCTGCGCGCGCCAGGGATGCGATGGCCCCCCTGCCTAAGTCGAAGAATCCAGCTGATGTGACTTCTAAAAGAAAGCATCAAATCACATATCTTGCTAACCTGGTCAGTTATTCGTTTGTTACTCATCGCAGCACCGTACTTCATCTTTAATCTGTTGAGGCTCTCGAGAAACAGTCATTGTGTTCAACCCAATAGTGATAATTTGTTTCCTTCTTCTAGGCAGTTGCACGTGAAGAAGCGCTGCAGCAACAGTGGGCGGAAAGCAAGCAGATGAGGCGAATGGGTCGACAAAAGTATGGCTTTTAATGGATGAGAAAGGAAAAGTTATTTTACTGAATAGTGATCATGTATACCTCAACGACTGTATTTATTCTTATTCCAGCTTGAGTGCTTTCAACTGCTAATGCGTAAAATACGTTCAAATTATAAAAAAGCCATGTTAGATTCCTCGTTCGTCGCAGTGATTGGTTTTATACATTACCGGAAAGAAAATTCAGGACAGGAGCCCGGTTGTTTCAATGGCGTTTTGCTATGGACGCAACATATTTCATTACCAGCTGGGCTGCGCATGCATCACAAATTAAGAATCGCTTGATCACGGTCTAACTCTAGAATAATATAGAAACATGCTCATGCACCGTGTCTCGGTGCTGTCCACCCAAAGATCCACTTTGATCGCACCCTACCTTCACTTTTCCGAGAATTTGAATCCGGATAAGGCCTTTTTGCGATAAAAAGAAGATACTTTATGATTCCTAGTCAATGGCATCACAAAGTGGCCCGTATCGGTTGGAGGGATCGATATAAACGGCATCATAATTAGACTTCCTATCTCAACCATGTTATAATGCGCCCTCGTGACATTTCACAATCCTCATCGGACCTAGGTGAATTTTTGTGGACAGACATACAATCGACACACAAGGAGAACACAAAGTTGGCACTTCATTTATAGAGAGAAGGAGGTTGGCCTTGCTGACGCCGGGCTATCCTCCTTCCTGTGTTTAAGTTGACCCGTCCACTACATTCTCCAAAGTTTGAAAGCTCCATGAGAACATGACTCTTTATCTCAATTTTCATTTTTCATTTTTTACATTCGGACGTCGTGTTGTCAGTGGGGTATTCAAGAAGAGTGCAGTTATTCTAAAGAGAAAACAACACGGACCAGTGCAAATCATTCGCTCCACCGACACTTACAAGGGAAAGATACTAGTTCGTAGTGGCCATTGTACACCGCGGTAAGTGTTTCCAAGTGGGGATCTCGAATCCCCTTTCCAAATCTGCTAAACGATTCTGGGAACAGAGTTACGGGACCATTTCCTCCCCTGTGTTACAGCACTGGCCGCCTGTATAAGTGAACCGAGAAGGCTAGCAATCGTGCAGCGATGGGGCAGTTGGTACGACGCGGATCCTCAGGATGGTAGCGAAGGTTCGGGTCCTTAATGATGCAAGTGCTCGTTTTGCTTTAAATAAATCACCTAAACGCTTGTAAAATGCTTCTCGCTTCACATCCACCATTTAGAGGTTCCCTAACATTTAAGGAACAGCGAAGGGTCCTTTCAAGAAATTTTTCTTTGCCTCTGTGCCGGAGAAGGGATGAGAGCGTTGTAACTCACGTGGCCTTCGAGTTGTGGCCTTTCCTTCCTTGTCTGGCAGGCGTGAGTCGTTGTAATCGTCACGCAGTTCTTTTACCTGAGTAGTCAATTAGCACGGTAGTGAGTGCCAACAAGTTTGACTGTCGAAGAGATAAGCTCGGTTCCAACCGTCCAGCACGGAATACCAGAACCTCAAACTTGGGTAATTAAAATTGATCCAACTTCATAGTATCAAAAAATGGCGAATGAATGCGAATGTGTATTGTGACTTCGAGGAGCTTCGAGGAGAAAATTTGAACCGTAACAAAATGTGTACAATGGGACTGATCTTGAGAAATGAAACTGAAATTTGAAACGTGTAACAAGCGTGTGGTGCCGGAAGAAACACAAATAAGCAATGAAACTGTGGGCTAGCACCAGAGGTAGAAACAGTCAATTTAGTTTGCGGCATACGTTAAGAACAGAAACAATCAAGGTAATATCGTGGCTTGCGCTGAAAGCAGAAAGAAACAATGAACACAATTCTACGACGTGGAACCGAAGATGAACCAACGAGTAGTGCAGTGCGGGGCTTTCACCAAAACAGAAGCAATGAATACAATTTTGGGCTACCGTCAGTAAAAGAATTCAATGAAATGTGGCTCACGCCAGGAAAAAACAGAACGGAAATAATGAGTGAACTATTACGTCTCACGCCGGAATCCGATACTATACAACAACTAAAAGAACTAATTAGGGAGGGCGTCACACGCGGTGAGTGCAGAGTGATTGACTGAACCTTCAAGAAATTTGGGATTTGCTCCAAAAGGGTGCGTACCGTAGATCAAAAGGCGCGGTCGAGCAGATACGGTAGATGGATTCCTTAATAGTGCTCGATGAGGCTCAATGAGCACACCCCTATTGGTTGTAAAACATGGGTGCATTTCAAGCCCAGTGAAGAGGAATTGCAAAAGCATGTTGTGAAGTCTTGGGCAACTTGTGATGACTTCGACAAGTAGTTGTCACATGGTCTATTGTATCAAAGCCCTCTTCCACATTAAAGCGTTTTTAAATTGACCATGGGGAATCCACCCCTGGCAAAAATATGCAACGTGGACCAGAGCGGTTTTGTGAAGGAGTTGCACTCGGCGAGGACCCTTGCTTTGAACGGTCCTAAGAAAGTCGAAAGGGCTGCACAGTCATTCTCAGCATTGTCCCACTCTTTTACTGTCATGCCGATCTTCTTTGCTGATGGTCACCTAGCAAAGAAACTATATGGTAACGCAGATTAGTGTTCTCAAGAAATAGATAAAGTTCTTCATCGTGTTTTGTTCTAACAGAAACCTAAAGGACGATTCCCGGCCGGAGGTTGCTTTCTCACTTCAAACTTGGAGGTCAGGGCAAGTACATCCCCCATGATGACCAAGGAGCTGATGCTGGACTGGGTCAGGACCTGCGTCAGATCAACGGATTTGCCCTCGTATCTTCTGATTCTCAATCCATGAGGCTCATTCGAGGACCATGAATCAATTCAGGGTGCTTTACCAGCAGGCAAGGCGGTGTAAGTGCTCAATATTCCGCCTGGCGCAACATCCAAAATTCAACCTCTCGATGCATATCTCTTCCTGCCATTTAAAACCAAGTTCAAGCGTATTGTCTCCTATTTTATCGCCCATTAACTTAATTTCCATGTTAGTAAGTAATGTTGTTTTACACCTCGTCTGGACGGGAACTGGAGAGTGATGGGTATGATAAACCTTTTTCTTACGTTGCTCTCATTGTGAGAAATTTTTCTGCCTCAAACACTTGGACTATCATATGTGTACATGAATTGCTCACTCATTGTTCCGACAGATCTTTTCTTTTTTTCCTCCACAAAAAAGTCCATGGAGACGTGCAGGTCTGATCAAAAAGAGGGCATTCCTATAACAAGGAGTATTCCGTTCAGATGAGCCATCCTCCGCCCTTTTGTCGAATGTGCACGGAGCTGCCATAAATTTCGCAATCCAATTTTAAGTGATTGGGATAGGACTGCACCTTTATGGCTGCTTTCGGATTTCGACGACCGTCCGTCCGTTCAACGCGTGCTGCGACGGCGGTTCTAGGAAGGTGTAGACAGCGCTGGCACGTGATCTAGTGCTATCAACACCATTCTAGAACCGCTGTCGCGCACGCGTTAATCGAGCGGACGGACGGATGAATCGTTGAAGTCTGAAAGCTGCCTATTCGATGGATGGGAGTAAGAGAAAACCATGGCATTGCTCTCTTCACTATTCTTCAAATGTGAGGGAAGCCTGTAGATGATGGGTATTTATTTATTTATTTAGTCATGCTTTCCATGACGCGCTGTATTCAGACATACGGCTGTTCGTGGAAACGATCATACAGACTCAAGAAAAGCAAACCAAACAAGATGTGATGAACATAAAGATGAAGCAATGCTTCGTAATAAAAATCAGGATTAGTTAACAAATAATAGAACTTGCTGAGTTCCAACATAGACATAGACCAGAGAGTCGCTCGGCAAGCAAACTTCGTTAACCCATTGACGACCACGTGGCCCGCCGGCGGGCCTTAACCCTATCGTGCCCCTGTGGTATTTATATTATTTATCAAGTGTTCTTATAATTTTTTCCAAATATCAGCTAGCTCACAGCCTTCTAGAGAATCTTGAAGCATTGTGATCCAGGAATCATTCATTCCCCACTTCAGTTATGAGGGAAATTAAAAGTCAACGTAAGGACAATATAAAAGGCGCTGTCGTCAATGGGTTAAACCAAAGGCAAAAAATTAGTAATGGCACGGTGATGACAGTTCTCAATCCAGCGATAAAGTTTGGATTCAAGAGGCTAGGAGGGCTCTGGCCTCAAGATCTGTGGGGCAAACGCTGCAGAGTGTGCCAGCACCAGCCGGCCATTGTGCCCTTAGCACCATTTGGGGTCATGAGAATTCACCGGCCCGAGACACGGGTGCCGACCACCCATGTGGAATCGGTAAACTTGGCAGAACTCGCCGCGTATCTTCCCATGCCAATCAGAAAAGAGACCTCCTTGCCGTATCATGTTTAGGGGTTTTGGTCATGCTTGTCGTTGTGAAGTGAGTAAAATGAGTGTCATTCCCGCAAAGGAAGAACTAGTCGGGAAGAGACACTACTTGAGCAACTGAGAGGAGAAACAGTATAGAGACAGTGCCAGAAAAAATATGAAGCGTAGAAATATTTTGCAAGCGTTTCGGAGAAGTTCCTTGAAAAAACAAATTGAGCACACGCACCAAGGACTCGAACTTTCATGACGATCCTGAGTCCGCCGTCGTATCAACTGCTTCATTGCTGCACGATTGATAGCATTCTCGGTTCGCTTATATAGGCGATCTGGGGCTATAACGCAGGGGAGGAAATGGTCCCGTAACTCTGTTCCCACAATCGTTTAGCAGATAATGAAAGTGGATTTGAGATCCCCACTTGGAAACACCGCGGTATACATCTCATCTTTGATGGCCACTGCGACCTAATATCCTTCCCTTGTTAGTAGTATGTACGTAATTTCGTCTTGGGGAGGCAGTCGTTTGGCGCGATCCCTCGCATCACGCCGCCCATTTGTTGCAGTTTGCGAGCTGGGCGGCCGGTCCAGTTCATCGGGCAACCTACTGCTCATCCAGTTGATAGAAGCCCGATCGACGCCGCTACTATTGGACGCCGATTTGTGGACCTGCTTGTATCCTGCCTATCAGCGT